CCTGTTTACCTCAGTTTCCTCATCTGTCAAATGAGCTGGAGAGGCAAGTGGCAAACCACTCCAGTATCTTTGCCAAGAAAACCCCAAATGGGGTCAAGAAAAGTTAGACATGACTGAAAAAGACTGAACAACAATATCTCAAGCTATAAATACTCGCAAAAAAAAAAAAATTCACAAATAGTATCTTTCTCTTTATTTTGGTCTCTCTCTATGTCTCTGTCTGTCTCTCTCAATGAAGTCTTAGAGTTTTCTGGGCTACTTTGAGATCCATGGTTACACAGCCTGAATCATTCTTTCTGCAGTCTAAAACACTGTGACCACCTCCCTTCACCTGAATTCCCTCTCTTCTCCCAGCTTTCTTGACGCTATTCTTTTATAGTTCTATTCCTGTCAGTCTGGTGGCTTCTTCTCAGCCTCTGTTGCTAGATCAACATCTATATCCCAGGCCCTAACTATGGGCAGTATCCAAGGCAAAGCTCTGGGTCCACTTCTCTTTTATTTCTTAGGGATCTCTCACCTCCCACAGACTCAATTAATCTCTATGAGATAACTCCCAGATTTACGTATCTGGTCTCAACCATTGTCTGAAGCTCCAATCCATTGGCAACTCACAGGAATCTTAGAATCAACACGTGCAAAGCAAAACTTACCTCCACACACTTTTTCTCTCCTCCTGTCCCCTCACCTTCCAATAATCCCAGACCTCTTTCAACCTTCCTTTTTTCTGTTATGAGAATAGCTATCCTTCAAGTCATCCAGGTCAATGTCTGAATCATCCTTGACCCTTCCTTGTCCTTTATCCCACAAAGCCACTCAGTTGCCACTTCTTTTCAATTTTATCTCCATAACACCTCTCATATCCATCCCCTTTTTTCCATTTAGACATCTACCACTCTATTTCACATCCTCATAAACTCTTCTCACTCAGACCATTATGGTAGCCTTTTAATTAAACTCTTCTTTCCTCTAATTCATTCTCCAAATAACTGTCCAAAAATTCTTCCTAAAGAAGTCTGACCATGCCATTCCCCTGCTCAAGAACTTTCAGTGGCTCCCTATTGCTTCTAGGATAAATTACAAATTCCTCAGTTTGGCATTTTAAGATTGTCACAATCTGGTTTCAATTTCACTTTCTAGGCTTATTGTACATATCCTATCTTTTCTCAACCTTCAATTTCCCAGTCTTCTATTGTCACTGAGCAGTAGCTCTATGCCTACACCTCATTTTATCATTATTAGTTAGATTAACTTTCTTCAACTTCTTCATATCTTTCTTGAGGTACAACAACCAAACTGCACACTTCAGACATAAATAAACCACTTTGATACAAAAGTAAGCTCAGGTTTGTTTTTGTTGTCAATACCATTCTTAAAGATGTCAATTACTATTGGGTTTTATAAGATTACAAAAGCAACACGAGGGCCAATATTTTCAGTAAAGTTTATTCCTGGGCTCTGATAGCTTAAGGTCCATCACATTATGGTTGGCATTGCTATTCCCTAAGTACATTACCAATGTATTTTCTCTCTAAAAAAATTTATGTTATTTTTAGAGTAAGATTCAAGTTCTCTCCCTCTCACTTCCTGCCCTCTCCCACTGAGAAAGCAAGAAAAACAAAACCCTATTATAAACAAGTAAAGTCAAGCCAACCAAATTTCTGCATTGGCCATGTCCAAGAAAACATGTCTCAATAAGCACTGAATCCACCAGCTCTCTACAGGGAGCTGGGCAGCATGCTTCAGCATGAGTCCTGAAACTGCAGTTGATCACTATGTTCATCAGAGTTCTCAAGTCCTTCAGAGTTGTTTGTCTTTGAAATATTACTGTTATCATCTAAATTATTTCCCTGGTTCTGTTTACTTTGTTTCTGAATCACTTTACACAAGTCTTCCCAAGTTTCTCTAAAATTCTTCCCTTCATCATTTCTTATAGCATGACAGTATTCCATCACATTCATATAGCACAACTTGCTCAGCCATTTCCCAATTTATGGACAGTCCTGTTTTCAGGTCTTTGCCACCACAAAAAGAGCTGCTTTAAACATTTTTGCACATATGGGTCCTCTCCCTCCTTCTTTGATCTCTTTAGGTTATAGACCTAGTAACAGGTTATCACTGGGTCAAAGGGTATACACATTTTGTTAGTTTTTGGGGGAGTTCCAAACTGCTTTCAAGAATGGCTGGACCAGTTCACAGCACCACCAACAATGTATTAATGTGCCTGCTTTTCCACAGCTCCTCAGCATTTCTCTTTTTCCTTTTTCATCAACTTTGTCAATCTAATGGGTGTGAAATGGAACCTCAAAGTTTTTCATTTGCATTTCTCTAATTATTAGTTATTTAGAGCCTTTTTTCACATGGTTATTGATACTCTTGGATTTTTTCCTCTGAAAACTGCCTGTTCATATGCTTTGACCATTTATCAACTGAGGAATGGCTCTTATTCTTATTCTATTATTCTCAAACATTATTATTCTACTCTCACATTTATCTTGGTATACAGTGTGAAATGTTTTTCTTTACCTAGTTTCTGCCAAACTGCTTTCCAGTTTCCCAAGAGTTTTGTTAAATAGTGAGTTATTGTCCCCAAAGCTGGGATGCCTGGGTTTATCAAACACTAGGCTACTGTGCTTATTTGCTTCTGTACGTTGTGTACTTAAATCTATATCACTGATCAACCTCTATGTCTTAACAAGTACCAAACTGTTTTTGATCGCTGCTTTGTTTTACAGTTTGAGACTTGGCACTTCTAGGTCCCTTTCTTTCCCACTTTTTCATTAATTGACATTCTTGACCTTTTGTTCCTCCAGATGAATTGTTATGAATTTTTCTAGTTATACAAAGTAATCCTTTGGTAGTCTGATTGGTATGACACTGAATAAGTAAATAGATTTCTACATTTACAATTATTATGTTGGCTTGCCTATCAATGAGCAATTAATATTTCTCCAATTATTTAGATTTGTTTTCCTTTGTGTAAAGAATGTTTGGTAGTGGTACTCATATAGTTTCTATGTGTGTCTTGGCAGTATTTTCCAACATGGAAACTCATTCATCACTTTTCTGGTCACATCATGAATTTACCCATATTCTCTTATTCATTTCCAGTGTCCAAGGAAAAGTCATCTTTTTGCTTACCAAAGTGAACTCCTCCTCCTGGATTCTTGATCACAAGCCCCACTTGCCTACTCAGCTCTATCAATCATCCACCCACTCTTAAACATTTTCAATCCCTTCTTAACCAACATTATTCTCCTTCCTACAAACAGGTTCAAATCTCCTTTATCTTTTAAAATAAAAACTCCTTTCAACCTTTCTACTGTTCTGTTCAAAATAGTATCCAACCATTCCTTCTACAAACATCAAAATTATAAAAACCCTTACCTACATTTATTGCCTTCACTTCCTCACCACCCATTCATTCCTTGACTCCTTCCAATTTAGATTCTGTTCTAACCTTTTGAAGGTTACCAATGACTTTCAAACTGCCCAAATGAATTACCTTTGGTTAGCTCTTCTTGTCCTTGATTTCTCTGCAGGTTTGACACAGATGACTCCCCATTCTTCTTGACTGTCTTTCCTCCCTCTATTTCTATGACACTGCACTCTACTGGTTCTCCTTATATTTATCTTATACTCTTTCTTATGTGTATAAATGAATTTTGATTTTTAAAATGCAATTCAAACGGGTCTCAGAAAGAAGGGCACTTGCCTTGTGATCTGAGAGTCTTATATTTCATATTCTCTGAGAGAATGGGGCAGATTTGGAAAAGTTGGGCAAACTCACTAATGCCAGGTACTCATTCCCTTTCCAGCAGAATACAGTGAACTACAAAGTAAACTGGGACAGTAAACATCACTATTCTATGTGCTGTAAGATTTAAGAAGATGTATACAACTCTGTTAGTTCAGGGAAGGCAAGAAAGATTAATTGTTGCCACCAAAGAAGGAACTACTATGTGATTTATCCCAGGAACAGAAGCTGGACCTTCACCTCTCCCATAAATCTTCATTTTCTGTAAGTGCAATGTTCTTTGCATTGCACCACAATACTTCTTTCATATATCAACTAACAAAAAAAAAATTCTAATATCTTACTAAAGAAAATCTTTGAAATACATAATTCTCTATGGATAGAATATCACAGACTTACGTTATCAAGTGTCAGTGAAGATATGGATTTTGACTAAGAATGCGCTTTTTTTTTAACCAAATTGTTATTATATTTGGAAGAAACAAGTAAATTTTATATTAAAAACAGAATCCAAAACAGGCATTCTTTAAAACATAACAGTAAGCTAATTGTGGTTATCAATCCAAAAAATGCCTTCTTCAGGGCAGTTTTATCTTTCATCACTGTATGGTCAAGATAAATTTTATTTTGGATCTGATCAATATAAAAGTAGAACTGAAAATTATAAAATCAAATATGACTCTTCCTCCTAATGTTATTTACTATAATGGAATTTAGCACAGACCTACAGAAAAACTATTGGCAAATATTACCACTATAGGTGTCATATAAATATAGATTTGGGGTTTGAGGATGTGCACCTGTGATTTCTTTGGTTTAGGAAGCTCTATGTAAGGAACTTCTTCTACCAATGTATATTGACAACTTCTGTTTCTTACAAAGTAGCCTGGGACTCAGAAATAAAGGGATTTGTCAGTATACTTCAGAGGCAAGACCTGAATCTATGTCTTCCTGACAAGATCACCTCTCTATCCAGTATACCACACTGACACTCATACAAATAAAAATATATTTCCCAATCAAAATTATTTCTTAAAACTTTCTGCCTATTTAACTACACACTCCAATAGAAAGCGGATTTTTTCCACTTAAAATTACTAATAATGCTAAGATGGCTTATTTTTAAATATGTAAGGCAGATTAGCAACAATCTTTGAAGGAAGTTGCTGTGATTACAATTTTCTCTACTGCACTGTATTTTATAAAAATAAAGGATACATAAAGTAATTCAAAGAAATTCACTCACCATTTCAGTGGTGTGCCTTCATATTCAAACCATATCTCACTAATGTCTTCTTGTCTCATAACCTTCTGAAAGTGCTTTTTCACTTTGTCAGTAACCAACGTCAAGTAACTTACTCTTGGTAAAAGCAACTGAAATAAAAATTTTAGAACTGTATTTTATTTACTTAGTTTTTTCAAAAGCATTAAATAGGTCTGAGTTACAAAAAAAATCATTTCACTTTATTTCTTCATATAATTTTAAATAAACCTACAATTGTTATTTGCAGATAATAAAAAACTATTATATTAAACATTTTAAGATTTCTGAGTTAATACATAATGAATAAAATTGTACTTTAAACAATTACACTATGGAAATTATCTACAGAAAATACCTGTGCAACACGATGCAGGGAGAAGCAGGAAGCTTCAACTTATTAACATAAAAACCAGAAGTTCAATCAATCAACAAGTAATCATTAAGCTTTTATTACGTGATACCAGGTACACTGATCTGAACCAGTAACATTTCTCAAAATTATTTCCCCCCAAACAAGATTAGTATGTAATTTAGTCAACATCAAGTGATTTCAAACAGAAGAGGGTCTTCTACCAAGAGGCACTAAAATTTAAGATGGTTCAGTTCAGTTAAATAAACTAAACTAAGTGGAAATAATACTGTTCTTATGTTAATCATGAAGTTATCATGATGCAATGTCAACAACATTTATCAAATGTCCACTCCATGTTAGGTACAGACGTCAGAGGGAGGATACAAAGAGATAAGATATGATGCATGTCTTTGAATTAAAGTACAACTGAGCATGTAAAATTATTACCAAAAAAAGAAAAGACTAAGGAATGGAGAAGTAGGCAGAAGCTAGTAAAGACCTAAAAGCCAGGCCTAGAGATTGTAAACTAATACACTGTGCATAAGCAATAGTTATGGGTTCATTTGAGAAACAACATCATGAAAACAATATTTTTAAAAATTATTCTAGCAGTTGTGTGCACAGCAGATTCGAAGACAAAGATACACAAGGCAGAAAGACTACTAAAACAGTCTAGGCAACAAATGTAAATGCTATTACCAACTCAATCACCTTAGTGAAAACTGAGAAAGGACGGGCAGAGTTTGGTGATAACTAGATCAGGGAAACAAAGACAATTAAAGTCACAGATGAAGGTTTTGTTACCCTCTTAGGCTACACAGCATTCCATTTACAGTTTGCCGTAAGTAACTACTAGTCACTGATGATTCTATTCTTATTAAGAAACTCTTCAAGTCTAACCTGTAGTGGGGCCCACTGGTATATGTTAGGGAAGATCCTTGATATGAGTATTTTGGGCTGCTGCATGAGGTAAGAACTTTAGTGAAGATAATGTGAAAGAGGGTACTGAGTTGGCTCCCTTCCCTTTTCTCATTTTTCAGAAATACATTTATTATTTTTAACATCTCTTTTACTATGCTCAGTTACTATTTTTTATTATGCTTATGTTACTAGTTTTTAATATTACTATGCAATGTGTCCTTTTGCTGCAATCACTGGATTTACATGATTTGACATTGAGTTCACAGGAGTTTGACAAACTGTTAATTCTTTACCATGAAACCACACATCTCATTAGATAATACGCCTGCCTTTGACAAGTGGTCCATTTTCCCAAGTCGAGCCTACATTATAGCCCACAGGTTTCTTTTTGGTTTTGTTTCTGATGTTCTTAATTAAATATTTTCAAGCATTTATTTTGTCTATCATACTTTCGCACTCCCCCGCCCCCCAAAAAAGAAAACTAACAAAAAGTTATAGTCAAGCAAAACAAATTCCCTTCAGTATTTCTGCCAGGAAGGAGGAAAAGAGACTATAATCTTTGGAAATATTATCTCATTTGGGAAACTAATGTTGGGGAGAAACTATTTATAGCATTGTAAAGTGTTTAAAACTCTAGAATATGTTTTATTTTTCCACTGATTTATCTTCTTTCTCCATCCCCATAAATGTGGATATACTCAAAGATCCTATCACACCAAACCTGCCCCTTCCTTGGTCATCTCATTCATTTCTGCAGCTTCACAGCTTCAGTGTAGGTGATGTAGTGGATGAACACCTGTCAGTTATGTTAGGGCAGAGATTCCTTTCGTGTTTGCTTTTGCCCTTGAAGGACATTAAGGTCCCTTCCAATTCTCAAATTCTGTGTGACTCCCAAATCCATGTAATCCTGTCTAAATCTGCATATACAACCCTGATCTCTGCCATGATATCCACTCTCACACTTCAACTGCCTATCACTTGGATGACCTACTAGAATCTCAAACTAAAAATGTAAAAAGGTGAATCGATTACCTTTCCAATAAAACCTACCCCTCCTCCCAAATTCCTCTTTTCTGTTGATTGTAACACTAATTCACTTAGTTAAGTAGGGGGAATTAGTGGTACCATCAGAAGTCAAGAAAGTGGGTACCATCAGGAAAGGCCTCATGTAGGAGGTGGGACTTAAGCTGAGCTTTGAGAGTAACTAGGGATTCTAAAAGACAGAGAAGTACAGAAGTATAGGAGTACACTCCTGGTGTAGAGAATAGTTTCTGCAAAGGTATAAAGAGGGAAGATGGGATATTGAGACAAGGAGACTAGTTAGGCTAGACTACATAGAATGTGTGATGAGGAATAAACATAACCCTAAAAAAGGTTGGCTGGAGTCCACTTCCCAGTTCCCAGATGGCTGATAGTGGCTAAGTACAGGTGCAGTTTACTGTTGCTCAGACCAAAGCCCAGGTCAAGAACTTGAAGAGTTCAGACCAAGGGACAACAACCATCAGACTCTGCCCTGGATCAGAATACTGTGGAAGCACTGAAACATTGCAGGTTCCCGACCTGAGCTGTACCTTAGAGCCTGGAATAACATAACACTCAACACCCCAAGAAAACTACAGGTCCAATCTATTCCTCCAGAAATACACAGGACCCAACTCTAACATAAAGTCAGGAAGGAGGCTGGACTAAAGAACAATTTAAAAAAGAATCCCATCATAATTATGGTGAAAGGGATGCTTAAGACACAAATCCAGAAGAGAATGACTCAAAAACATCTACAAGCAAAACCTCAAAGGAAAAAAAAAAAAAACTTGGGCACAGATTCAACTAGAATTCCTGGATGAGATAAAGCAGGAGTTTTTTTCTTTTTTTTAAGGAGCCAAAAAATGTTTTTATAAAATAAATAAGAGTGCTAGAGGGAAAAAACAGAAAAGAAATGAGAGCTACAGATGAAAGAATAAGAAAGGTAATTAACAGCTTTGCCCAAGCAACAAATTCCCTGAAAATCAGAACGGACCAAATAGAAGCCAACGACTCCATGAAACAACAAGAAATATTAAGACAAAGTCAACTGACTAAAAAAAAAAATTTGAATAAAAGCATCTCATAGTAAAAACAACTGACCTGGAAAAATATCTAGGAGAAAAAAAATATTAACAATCATTAGACTTCCCGAAAGCTATCAGCCTAGATGTCGCATTTCAAGATATCTTAAAAGAAAACTCCCCAGATTTCTTAGAATCAAATGAAAATAGAAAGGATCGGATCTACAAGTCACTGCCTGAAATCCCCCAAATGGAAACTCTCAGGAACATTATAACCAAAATCCAGAGCTTCTAAAGAAAAAATAGCATAAGCAGCCAGGAAGAAAGAATTCAAGTACCAAGGAGCCATAGTTAGGATCATACACGATTTAACATCCACTATGATAAAGGAGCAAAGAGTTTGGAACACGATATTCCCAATGGCAAAGGGTAACAGTCCTCTATAGTCAATAATAACTTAGAAAAATAAGTAACCTAAAAAAAGTCTGGGAACCCAAAAACTTACCTAAATAAAAACAATAAAACTAATTTCAATTTAGTCATAATTCAAAATTTTTGCTATTGGTTTCTTTAAGAAAGAAATTGGGCATAGACGTTTCATACCCATGGGGAGGAGAAGTTTTCTTAATCAAACAAAGTATAAAGGCAATTGCAAAAGATAAAACAGATAACTGATTACCATGAGACTTCTGCAAAAACAAAATTAATGCACTTAAGAAGGGAAGCAGTCAAAGGGGAAGATTCTTTGTACCCAATTTCTCAGATAAGGGTGTGGTATCCAAGATACATAAACAATTAGCATATATGTGTGCTATATAAACAATCAGCAGATATATATGCATATATATTATATGCAAAAGCCACTCCCCAATAGATAAATGATGAAAAGATATGGACAGTTCCCAAAAGAACTGCAAACTATTAACAACCACATGAAAGAATGTCCCAAATTACTAATAAGAGAAATGAAAATCAAAACAAACCTAAGGTTTCACCTCATATCCTGAAAACTGACAGAGATGACAAAATGTGGCAACAGTCAATTTTGGAGGAATTGTGGGAAAACAGGTACACTAGTAAATGATTGGGGAAGGGAATGGAGACAGAAGGGGAGGGGGAATGGGAAAGGAATATACTTTTTCTTCTATTTGTTATATGGGATGGTTTTCTGGTAGGGGGAAGGAGAGGGACAATGAAGGAAATTAGGCTTATGCAAAAAAAAAGAAGACATCAATAAAAACTTATTTTTAAGAAGATACTGATGACTAGTAGGAAACCTTTTCAATCCTAGAGGGTCAAGGAAGCAACTGAATAGTTCCAGTTAAAAATTGACTACTGTTAGAGATTTTTGTTCTGTCATGTTAATCCAAAATTTTATTTTTATATAAAGTTTTTTCTTCATTCAATTTTCCTACTAAATGTTACCTTAAATTGTCTTGGGCTGGACAGAGCTGTCTAGGAGCACTGGAAGGCAGGGAGGGGGAGGTAAAGAGGAGAGGCAGAGACTATCCCAGTTTGGATATTTCTTTTTCTAAGCTAGAAAATGATTAATTGAGAATCTTAAATTAATAAAAAGTATTTCTGGTAGTTATGCCTAAAATTCAGATACAATATATGTGGTATGTATGTGTGTGTGTGTATGAATATATATGTGTGTGTGTGTGTGTGTGTATATATATATATATATATATATTTGGTGACAGTACCACTAACAAACTTACATAGTAAGGTTCCGCTTCTCTTTCGGTTATCTCATCCTGATAGAGTGTAAAACAAGTTGGTATTCGTCCAAACCACACATCTCGAAGCACATCTTTGTCATCTGTCATTCTTCCAGTGGACAAGGCAGCACATATAGACTAAAGTTTTTCTTTGACCAAAGATACACTGAAAACAAAGTACAGAGGGTAAATGAGTCAAATCTCTACAAAGATATATAAAAACACCAAGTTGTAAAAAAAAAAAGTTCACAGAAAGAATATTAATGCATAGAATAACTTCTAAATTAACTAATTAATTATTAATTAATAACTTCTTTATCTTTTAAAATCTAAGGACATCAACATACTTTTAAACAAAGGTGAAAAAAGAGCACAGGAAATTTTCATTGCTGAATTTGTTATTATTTATTTAAAGAGATAAAAAGGGTAAATAACCCACTGGTGCGCTACAAAAGTCGCTTAACTGGGCCTCAGTTTCTTCATGATGATGTTGGAGTAAGGGTCTTTCCAGTTCTAAATCTATGATCTACAACACTATCGGTAATCCATAACATATTTACACGAGTCAAATAAACCATAGCAAAAGTGAAATAAGAATCCAGTCTCTTAGCCTTCCTTCCAGTTGTATAGTTTGCTATTGGTTGACAAGTTTAAGGTAACTACTTTCAAGGAAACAACACCAACTGAATTTTATATATATACACACACACACACACACACACACACACACGAAATTTCTGGTATCTTTAATTTTTAAAAGTCACGTTATAATCAATCACACCTCATTTGTAACACTTTCTGCACTTACGCCTTTTCTTCTTTCCTTGGCAAAAGGAAATACATCTTATATTGCCTAGTATGCTGCAGTGTCTGAACAAGGGTAATCACTCAGGAAAAAAAAAGTGTTGATTAATTTAGCTAATCAAATAGAAAAGGAAACATATCAAATCTAATCGGGAAAAGTGTCAAAGGGAAGAAGATCTTAAGAAGACACACTCCAAGGTCAGTGGGAGACAGGGAATTTGATATAGTATTATCAAGCACCAAACTATAAACCCCATTGTTGGTCTAATCTCAGACATCACAAACTTCTCAATTACTTCATATATAAGCTGAGAATAATCACTTAATGATGGGAACACATTAAAAAAAATCCAATTACCTTTCCATATTCTGAACACTTCGTTTTAGGGACACTGGGGAAATACCAGCAGCCAAAAATCAAACTCAAAAAGGTGTATTTAAAAAGTAAAATCAACTTTTGTCTTATTCAGGGTGCTAGATTTTATTCCCTCTAAAAATCTGTGCCGTGGAAAGAGTCCTGGATAGGGAATGAGACCATCTGGGTTCTGTCACCTACTATACTAACTACTAACCTGTATACCTTGATAAACTGCTTGGATAAACTACCTTGTAGAGGTAAGACTTTTTTCTTTTAACAAAGAAAGAATTCAAAGGCAGTTATAGAAAAAACATCAAGGCAACTAAGATTTGCCGAATGCAATGTAGTATTTAAATTTTAAACTTAACTCTTATACTGCATGTTTTGACTATTTCTGCTGTGATATATGGTTCCTTGACTTTATAAAGATGTGCAAACAAGAATGTTTAATGAAAAGAACAGTGTACCTAGGTTTAAGGAAACCTAGATTCTAGATTATTTCATACACAGTTCATTGTAAAACTATAGATGTCATCTATCTTCATTTTAGAATGGGGATGTTTATAATCAGTGTTTTTTCTCTTAAAAACTTTGGTACTCTAGTTAAAAGGGACATAGGAAAAATATTAACAGCAATTGAGGAAAATTTGAAATAATTTATTTTACATTACCTTAGGAACAGAGAAAGATGAGAGAATTGGGTTATCTTACAGTTTTAAGTTAACTATACAAGTGCTAAGATGCAAAACTGAACTAAATCTCAACAAATCTCAACTTATCACTAAGATCAAATGAGCTATTGATTTATGCCTACTCACTACTAAAAGAAGTTAGTGGTGGTAAAAGTATAAGAAAAGACAGTTTATTATCAAGGTAAAAGGAGGGAAAATGAGGGCCTGAACTTACTGAAACATTCATTCCTCCTCACAAGAGTGGTTTGAGCTATGTTCACTAGCATATTCTAGGCTCCACCACTTGCACAAGTTCAGAAGATTGGCAGAGGCACCAGTGACTGGGGGACAGCACTTGCTCCTACAAGCCATGGAACACAACTGAAGTAGTGGTAGTACTTAGACCAGGTAACCAATAGTATCTCCAAGGTTTCCATTGACCTCTTTTCTTTTAAATTAATGCCCTCTTATAACTGCTAAATCCAATGGTCTTTTTTCAGGGGAAGGAAATGGAACAAGCATTTCTAAGTGCCTATTATGTTCCAGCACTTTACAAATACTATTTCACTTGATCCTCACAACAACCCTGGGTGGTAAGGTGCTGTTGTTATTCCCATTTTACAGAGGAGGAAACTGAGGCAGACAGAAGTTAAGTGACTTGTCCAGGGGGGTCACAGAGCTAGTTAACTGTCTAAGGTTGTACTTGAATTACCTCACCACCTAGCTGCCTCACCCTTCCTGACCTCTCTATAACCTGGCACTGCTAATCACACATTATTTTAGTTTTGATCTCCATGGCTTTCCCAATAATGCTGTCTATTGGTTCTCCTCCTATCTGACTGACCTTTCTCAGCCTCCTGCTTTTGTCAGATCACACTTATATTCTGCCTAACTTTGAGTGAACCATATCATAGGGCTACTCTGAGCCAGAGAATCCTAGACTTCTTGGTGACTTTCTTTAAACTCTCTCAATGATCTTATAAGCTCCCATATGCTCAATTCTTGTTTCTATGCAGATAACTCCCAAATTACACATCCAGCCCTATCTTCTTCCTGAGCTCTAATGTACCCCAGAAGCCTGTTCATGCCTGGATGTACATAAGTCCTTATGATCCCTTCCTTTGATTGGTGTGTTTCTGCCTGAAATTACCCTGTAAGGAAGTACCAGACCATCTATGCTCACTTCTCACTTCTAAGCTTTTGACTCTCTCCAGACTTTCTCACCTTACCTCCACCACAGGTACCACCCTCATGCCTCCAGCTCCCATTTATTTCTTGTCTTTGCTGTCAGAATGTAAGTTCCTTGAGAGTAAGGGCTTTTTTTTTTTTTTGCTTGTATTGTATTCCCAACACCTAGCACACAGAGAGTGCTGGATAAATGCTTTATCTGAGTTGTATTTCACTGGGGTGCGGGGCGAGACCATCTGTTGAAAGATCCCTCTTCTCCCCTGCCCCTTATTTCACTTCACTCAAATGTCTCATGGCACCATCTCCTTCACCTGTCTCACATGAAGGATGGTCCTCATTGCCAACACTAATCCCTCAATGTGAACAAGTGATCCTATTCCATTCTACGTTTATAAACACGCCCATGTCTCCCCCACTCTCCAAAAACCTTCACTTGATCCATCAGTTCATCCAGCTAGTTAAACTCCATGAGAAGGCAATCTACAATCAATACCTCCATTTCCATTCCTCTCATTCTCTTCTTAACTCTTTGTGGTCTAGCTTCTCACTTTATCATTCAACTGAAACTTTTCTCTGCAAAGTTACTAATGATATCTCTACTGCCAAATCTAATGGCCTTTTTTCAGTTCTTATCCTTTCTGACCTCTCTGCAGACCTCTTCTCCTTGATATCACCTTCTAAGTTTTCATGACTATACAGCTCCCAGTTCTCTTCCCACCTGTATGATCACTGTTTGCTTTCCTGGATCTTCATCCAGGTCACCTCCACTAACCATAGGTGGCCTTCAAGGTTCTTTCCTAGGCCCCCTTTTCTCCCTCTATACTATTTCATTTGATGAGCTCATCAGCTCCTGGATTCAATTTTCATCTCTATCCAGATGACTCTCAGATTTACTTCTCAAACTCAACCTCTCTCCCAACCTCTAATCTCACATATCAAAGTGTGTCTACGATCATCTTAGACACATCCAAAATTTAACTCAGTATCTTTCTCCCCAAGCCCTCTTTCCTCTTCCTAACTCCGTATTACTGTTGAGTACCACCATTCTCCTCTTCGAGAATGAAGGACAAACACAACCTGTGAGTAGTCCAAGCTGCCTGAATAAGGACCTAGTTGGCCAGTTTCAGTTGGGCAATTCAGCTCTTCATCCCCTCCTCTTCCTCCTCTTCTCTCCCTCCTTCTCTTCTCTGGAGTTAAGGGCTAGATTTCTTTGTCAAAGACCAAGCCTTAAACCCAATTCACTCTGGAGCTCATAGATTGGACAACAGGTCCCTGCCCAAGCACCAGCTAGGCATGAAGGGGATAGAGCACCAGTCCTGGAGTCAGGAGGACCTGAATCTGGCCTCAGACACTTGACACTTACTAGCTGTGCGAACCTGGGCAAGTCACTTAACCCCATTGCCTAGCCAAAAAACTAAAGTTTGGTGTAACCATGTCTCCCTATCATCTACAAGCCAGAATATAAAATCATTTGTTTGGTTTTTAAAACCCTTCAAGAGTTGCCTTTCCTACCATTCCAGTCTTCTTACACTTTGATGTCCTCCACAGACTCTTCAGTCTGGTGACAGTGGCCTCCTAGGTGTTTCTCCAAGATATTCCATCTCCCAATTCCATGTTTTCACTAACTGTCCCCCAAGCCTAGAAAGCTCTCCCTCATCTCTGTCTCCTAGCTTCTCTGGCTTCTTTTAAGTCCAAAATAAAGGAAGAGTGGTCCTAGGCAAGTCATTTAACCTATTTGCCTTCAGTTTCCTTATCTGTAAAATCCCATCTTTCACAAGATAACTCCATAGTCCTTAATCTTAATGCTTGTCCTCTGAAAGTACCCCCAATTGATCTTCTATGTATGCAATTTGCATGTTGTTTCCACTATAAAACTGTCAACTCCTTAAAAACAAGGACTGTTTCTTGCCTTTCTTTGTAACCCCAACACTTAGCACAGTGCCCAGCACATAATAGGCCCTTAATATATGCTAGCTGACTTAATTTTAAAGGACTTTTTCCTCCCATAGAAAGTACCAAAAACTCTATATTTTGTCATTTATTAATGCTATGCATAGATACAATGTAGCACATGGTTTTCCCCTGAAGCTCTAAACCTATTATCCTAAATAGAGCCATGCAAAAGTGGAATGGCCCTGGGTGGGTTTTCCCTCATAACAGTTCCTCAAAGAAAAGAGAAAAAGTTGGACAGACCATTTGTCAGATGTGTTGGATGGGGATACTTTTTTTCTGGTATGGGCTGGACTAGAATGGCCTAGCTAAAGTCCCTTCCAATTCTAAAATTCTGTAAACCTGAAGATCGCTCACACTTCTGGGAGTTATTTGGTGGGAAAAGTGCTCTGATTTGGTCCTTCAGAGTATTCTCATGGCCCCGGGAAAAAACCAAAAAACATCTAGTCTTCCCAATGGTCCTCAGTACGCAGGGACGATCCAGTATCTCTAGGACCACTAATGAAAACAGAGAAAAATCCAGGAAGTGCCCCCCCACGAGGTGTGACGGGACCGAGACCAGAACGTGGAGGGTTTAAGGAGCTGTTCTATGTGCATTACGTAGGGTATCCAGGGCTCTGGGGCAAGAAGGGCTGGGGGCTTATCCACCAGCTACAAAATTACAAAAGCAGAAGAGGCAGAGAATTCACCTGCCTCTGCCACACCCTCTAGGAGGGTGTCCTACAACCAACCTCACCTCAGCCTCTGGGGCAGCCCCACCTCTATGCAGCCTACAGGGCCCCAGACGGGTTCCGCACCTCCACCACCACCCCCGCCCTCCGGCCACAGCTCCCAGCCAGGGCGCCCAGGCCAAGTCCCCTCCCGGCGCCTCACAGTCTCCCCACCTCCCGCTCCCCCCCCAACACTCCCCCCTCGCCTCTATTTCCGCGCTCCTCACGGCGGGGAGGAGGGCGGGGGCACCGCTTCCCTTCCCTACGCCCCGCCCCCTCCCCCCGGCAGGGAACGACTTGGGTCAGGTCGGAAGAGGAAACCCCACGATGGGGGTGGGGAGGGGGGAACAGAAGGAGCAGAGAAGAGGGACAGTTACCTGAGACCCTGCCCGGTGAGGGCTCGCGCAGCCGCGAAGGACACAGGAGCAGGGGGGAGGAAAGGGGGAAGTGGGGGGGGACCCCCACAACGGGGGCCACTTCCGTATTAGGGCCCTCCCGGAAACTCTGAGGTTCACACCGGCAAAGCGACAGTCCGGACCGTCAGGCCCCCACTGCAGCTCCAGTCCTCGGCGGCACTGGGAGATGACGTAATGGACCACGTGGCCTGCCGGGCGGTTCGCACGCCGGAGGGGGGCGGGGCTCAGAGCAGAGAGCGGACGGTCCGGGGGAGATGGAGCGCAGTCGGAACCCCGGAGCCGGCGAGCCACGCCCTGGGCCACCTGATCCCGCCCGCGGATGGCAAGTGGACAGCCGCGTGGTCCCGCCCACCCCCTGTGTCCTCATGCCTTAGGACCCATGCCTGGGGGCTGAAAGTTAGGAAATTCCCAGGTGGGCCGAGAAAAAAAGGGAAGTCCCGAATGAGCTGGATAGCCCACATATACAAATATGCATATATATGTGTATATACACACACACACACACATACATACACATTGTTCAGTCAACCCGACCCTTTGTGACCCCTTTTGGAGTTTTCTTTGGCGAAAAGACTGGAGTGGTTTGCCATTTCCTTCTCCAGCTCATTGTAGAGATGAGGAAACTGAGGCAAACGGGGTTAAATGACTTGCCCAGGGTCACACAGCTAGTAAGTGTCTGAGGCCAAATTTGAACTCAGGAAGACATTGCCTACCACCATATATACATATATATATATGCTATTATATATATAAGCTATATATGAGTTACATATATATTTAAGGAAGTTAGGTGTGTATATATGCATATATTATACATACCCATGCATACATACATATACATATACAAACTGAACTATATAGTATATACACATATAATGCATGTAAATTATGAATTATATATACATATACACATGTATAATATGAACTATATATAAGGATCTATTTGAGGAGGTTAGGCATATATATACATATGAATGATGTATTTAAAGAGGCTAGACCTCTAGTAGGTATGTATATACGTACACAGATACATATGTAAACATCACATGCACACAAACAATATATACACATATACACGAATACATACATATGAACTATATATAAGGATCTATTTGAAGAGATGAGGCATATATACACATATACATATACATACACATATGTATGCACAGGGAGGCCCCCAAGTGTTACTGTTGTTTTAAGGTACAAAAGTACAAATTTAAGCTATTTAAGCTTTTATAGCTTAAAACCACACTTAAGATTTGGAGGCCACCCTGTATGAATAAGGAGGCTTGTGGTTTGTGTATTTGTTTGCGTTCAGTTTTAAACTTTTCCAGGGCAGGGACTGTCTCTTGCCTTCTTTTGTATTCCAGCCTTAGCACAAGTGCCTGTCACATGATAGGAACTTAATAAATGTTTATTGAATTGAATTGGTTTTAATATGTTTGTTTGCATGTTGTCTATCCCATTAGATTGTAAGCTCCCTGAAGGCAGAGACAGTCTTTTGCCTCTTTTTATATCCACAATGTCTGGCATATAGTAGGCGTTTAGTCAATGTTTACTGAGTTGAATTTGATCCATAGGATGAGCTCCCAGATTGGGGAACTCTCTACCAAAGCTTGTTAGTACTTTCTAGTGTTAGAAAGAGGCCTAAAGCCCTGACAGGTTAAATGTCTGTAAATTACAGTCTCTGTAGTTTTCTGGAGAATTGAGGTATTAAGTGACATGCCCGTGGTCACACAGCCAGTATCTGTCAGAGATGGGATTTGCCCCGTTTCCCACTGCTAGTGTCAGAGGTGGAACCTGGACCTAGGTCTTCCTAAGTCCAAGGCCTTGTCCACACTGCCCCCCAACATGCATATATACAGAGGCTGAAAAAAAAAATAATAGTCCCTGCCTTCAAGGAGCATGCATTCTACTTTAACATAGTAGTAGCTTGGCATACGTTATTTCATTTGATCCTATGAGGCATCAAGTATCCCCAGCACTACCTGGGGATACTGAACTGGAATGGGGAACTCCAGAAATTCTCACCAGTCAAGAGTTGGCCACACTCTGTAAATTAGTCTGAGATGTTAAGTGACTCACCCTTGGTCATACAGCCAGTATATGTCAGAGGCGCAAGTTGATCCCAAGTTTTTGTGACTCATAAGAGAACTTCTTTAGGTTATCTTTCAAGTGCATTTGATTGCCATATCAAAGAAGAAACAAGCATTAATACAAGCACTGATTCTGACTCCCTAGCTCTTGTAGCTAGATGTAGGCGTGGTGTACGGAGTGCTGGACTTGGAGACCGGAGGATATGGGTTCTAACCCTGCCTCACACTTACTTGCTATATGACCTTCAGAAAGTCATTTAACCTCTCTCAGCCTCAATTTTCTCATCTGTAAAATGGGAAAAATAATAGCTACTACAAAGGGTTGTTGTGAAGATGAAATGACATAGCATATATATAAATTGCTTTGCAAATCTTTTTATTTTCAATTAAATTTTTATATAATTTGTTGTCAACAGGCATTTATTAAGTACTTATGATATGCCAGGCACCATACTAGACACTGGAAATACAGATACAACCAGGAAATAAGACAGTTCCTACCCTCAGCTCATATTCTACTTGGGGAAGACAACATATAAAAAGGGAGCTGAAAGCAGAAGGGTGGGAGAGGGGAAGGTACCCAAATCTGACACTGCTTCCATTTTTTCTCTATTTGCCAGGAAGTGGTGGGACAAGATGCCATGGTCTTAGTTTTTTTAGTGTTAAGCTTAGAGCCAGCTTTTGCACTCTCCTCTTTCCCCTCATCAAGAGGCTTCTTAATTCTTCACTTTCTGCCGTCATAGCGGTATCATCTATGTATCTGAGATTGTTGATATTTCTACTGGCAACCTTAATTCCAGCTTTTGCTTCATCCAACCTGGCATTTCTCATGATGGACTCTGCATGTAAGTTAAATAAATAGAAGTGACAATAGATAGCCTTGTCATACTCCTTTCCCAATCTTAAACCAGTTATTACATGTCCGGTTCTAACTGTTGCTTCTTGACCTACATACAGGTTCCTCAGGAGACAAATAAGATGATCTGGTACTCTTATCTCTTCGAGAACCTACCTCATTTTGTTGTGATGCACACAGTCAAAGGCTTTAGTGCCAGCCTTTAGAACAAAGGATTAAAAAAAGAAAGGGAAAAAAGCAGATCAGTAAAACTAACTAGCACATCAACTGAGTCTGGCAGTAAATACAACGTTCCCCACAGCTGCATGGAAGGAAAGGAGGTGCATTTTCTCAATCCTTCTCTAGATACAGGTTTATTGTTATTTTCATGTTTATGTTGTTATGATCATTGTGCATATTATTTTCTTAGCTTGCTTTACTTCACTCAGCATACCTCACTCAGCATACTTTCATTTACTTTCACATGCATATCTCCATGTTTTTCTGAATTCTTCATATTTGTTATTTCTTAACAGTATGGTAATGTTCTATTATATTCATGTACCACAATTTGTTTAGCCATTTTCTAGTCAATGGGCTTCTACTTTGTTTCAGTTCTTTACTACCCCAAAAATGTGTGTGCCAGAAAATTCTGTTCTCTGTAATACACAGGTAGGTATGTACTTTGTGCTGAGTCATGTCGCCTTTCCTATTTGAAAGGCTCAAAGCTTCAGGTGGACAGTAACATACTGAGAGCCATTTTCAGATTTTTGTGTTGCCTTATCCTTGCTCTGCTAAATGGTGCTTTGCATTAGTGCATTGCATATAGTAAACACAATAAATTTCTATTTATGTTCAAATCAATCATTGATCATCATCATAGCTGACATTTATATAGCACTCTAAGATTTGCAAAGCACTTTATATACATTATGCTATTTGGTCCTTTCAATAACTCTTTGAGGTAGGTCTTCATTTTACAGATAAGGAAACCACAAAGCAGAAAGGTTAAGTGATTTACCCTGAGTCACACAATAATTAAGTGTCTTAGAGGGATTCGAATCCAGGGCTCCCTGACTCATGTCCAGGGAGTCCAATAGCCTGTACTCCCTGATAATACAAGTACAGATCTACTGGACAGCAGAATAGTACTGTCCTTACTGTTTTCATCTTTTTCCATGTTTCTGGACCATTGGCTCATTCTACCAAGTTTTAAGACAAAATTCATAATTGGATTTTTATAGTCCAATGGCATCCTTCTGTCATCTATCATCTTGGTTCCATGACCTTCCGAGGTCTTCTTACATGACAAGCTGTATCTAATACATGTTCCTTGCCTAATTTGTCATCTGGTCCCCCAGAGAGGTTTTCACATTATTCTTTCAGTTGTATGCTAGGTGGCCATAAGGTTTTGTGCTTTCTGTTCTGTCATGGATTGACCTTATTGTGCAGATACCATTTTAGGAATACCTTATGTTTAATAATTTCTGCCCTAATCTTCATGGGCACCTGCTTGCTAACATTGAATAAATGCAGCTGAAGTTCTTTTAGGAAGCTTTGTTTCTTCTTGCTAATTCTTTGTCAATGTGGTTATGCTAGCATTATCAACGATGACCCAAGTATGTATTTTCCATTCTTTTCTCAGTCTTCAAAGTGGGTAAGGTCCCTTGTGTGCAATATTCCTTTTTCATCCATTCTCTTTTATTGAGGCTAATTTCCAACACTGTAAGCTTTCTTCTCTCTTACAGCTGTTGAAGTTTTTCGTAGAAGTCTAAGATGGTCCTTTCAAACAAAATACAGTCATCTGGAAAACAAATGGAAAATGACAAGCAATAAACCTAGTTTTTACAGTGAAGATCAGTATGTGAGAAAACACTAATTTGAATGGCCACATATATCTTAGGAGATCAGTATTTCTTTTGAAAATGAGTTAGTGGGCAGTGATTTGGTAAAGCTCAGCACATGGTTCGATTCATATTTATGAATAATTCATATTCATAACTTTAAAATAGGATATAACATTTGGTAGCATCTCATAAACTTTGAGATAATTTTCTATTTGTATGCACAGAAAAGAATCTGAGAAATGTACCATTTGGAGGTTTGTGAGGAAATTTTCTTTTTAATAATATTTCTAAAGCCCCGGTTTTAAATGTTAGAGAAGAGTAAACATCACTGGGATAAGGGCTAGGAGACCTAAATTCTAGACCTTGCAAAATCACTTGGCCTTTTAGAGC